TTTGAACTGCTGACCTTGTGGTTTGAAGGCCAGTGCTGATCCTACAGTACTATGCCAGGAATCCTCATGAAGAATGGTTATTAGTGTTCAGTGCCATCAAGTCGGTTCCAACTCCTAGTGACCCTGTATAGGGTTTCTGAAGCAGCTGGTGAGCTTGAACTGCCGACTTTGCAATCCATCACATTAACCTGCAGCACCACACCAGGATGGATAAGAGACTCTAAAAGATGAAATTAACATTTCAAATGGAAAAAAAAATGTAAAGCTCAAATGATTAAAGTGTATGAATAAAATCAGATGACAAATAGCTAACTAAGTAGGTGTGGTGGTGGTGGTGTACTGTCGAGTCAGTTCCAACTCATAACAACCTGCACAGGGTTTCCGAGGCTGTACATCTTTACAGGAGAAGAAAGCCTCATCTTTCTCCCACGGAACGGCTGGTAGTTTCGAATTGCTGACCTTGAGGTTAGCAGCCCGACTCATAACCACTATGCTACCAGAGCTCCTTAAGTAGGGATGGTGGTGGTTGTGATGTGCTTGCAGTTGGTTCTGACTCATAGCAACCCTGTATAGAGTTTCCGAGGCTGTAAATCTTTGCAGGAGCAGAAAGCCTCATCTTTCTCCCACAGAGCAGCTGGTAGTTTCTAACTGCTGACCTTGCAGTTCTCAGCCCGATTCGTAACCTCTACACTACCAGAGCTCCTTAAGGAGGGATATATGAGGGTTTAAAAAAAAAAAAAAAAAAGCATTGCTAGTAGGATTTCAGTACATATATGTGCACAAGTTTATTCCAAACAAAACATGTTTAAGCATGCCTCTGTGATCAGTGGGTGGCTGCAGACAAGTTTTTTCAGTAATCCACTTGTTTCAGTCTCTTTAGGATGCTTTCTAAAAAAAAAAAAAGAAGGGTCCATTCAAAGCAGTGATTTCCAAGGGAACTGTTAGACCACTTCAGTTCAAGGTAGAGTGTTCAGCTCAGAAGGTTATGATAAGAGTTTTCTGGAATTCCAAAGGGGTAATCTTAATGGATTTTCTTAAAGGACACAGGAAGATCATGGAGACTTACTAAGAAATTCTATGAAACTGAAAACGGTATTGGTAAGACAAGGGCCAGTGAAGTTGTAGCAATCATTGTCTTTTGCTTCATAGCAGCACTATAGGACAGCATAGAACTTGTCCCATAGGGTTGGCAGGGCAGAGTCCTGGGATGGCACTGAAGATAAGTACTGGACCACAATGTGGGTGGTTCAAACTCACCGGTCACTCCTCGGAAACCCATACAGGGTTCGCTGTGAGTCAGAACGGACTCATCAGCACGCAACAACAATATTTATAGGAGCAGATTTTCACAGCTTTTTCCCACAGAGAAGCTGTTGGATTTGAACCAGCGACTTTTCAGTTAGCAACCTAGCATTTAACCTCTGTGCAACCAGGGCTCCTTGATTCTTACATTAAATCATGGTTAATGGTGTACCAGACACACTGCAAAAGGAACACACACACTAACGTTTCCAATGGTGTGTGTGTAAGTGTGTTTGATGGGTCTGCAGGCAGATATTCCTTTCACAAGCCCCATCTCTGACTATATCCAGCTCCACCCAGCAATTTGCTTCAGATAATTTATAGAATAGAAATCTTCCTTTTGGCATCAATGTTATCCTTAAAATAAAAACTAAAAAAAAAATCAAAAACAAAAATACCCCAGCTATTACATATATATTTTAGAAAATACATTAAAAAAGTAGGGGAAAATGCCTATGATCTGACCACCCAGAAATAAACACTATTGACATTTGGTATCTATTATTTCAATTTTTTTCTTTCTATGCATATAAATGCTATGAAACATAAATGTGAGATCATACTTGTTGTAAGCTTGTTTTACTTACTGATATATGCACAATGTAATATTTCCCCAGGTCATAAAATACTTTTCTACCACATGAGTTCATGACCACATAGAATTGCACTCTATGGATAAATAGTACCTTCATCAATCTCTTATGGTTGTTGCCAGTTCTCTACCATTAGAATGTTGTAATGAACATCCTTAAAGCTAAATCTTCATACACATACGTGATTATTTCCTGAGGATAAAGTCTTAGAAGTAGAATTGCTGGTTATGCAAAATGTTAAGGCTTTTGGTTTACATTGCAAAGTAATCTGCAGAAAGATTAGCTTTTTTTTAATGTTGTAAACAAAACCTTTATTTGAACAAAAAAGATGCTTTTCCTGAAGGGAAATTTTATTATCTAGAATCAATTTCTTTTGAGTGATTCATCCTCCATAGAGACAGATTGCCATTAGTATAGTATCTCCTTACCAAGGAGACATTATTGTTTTTACAGTTAAAAGGGAAACCTTAAAAGAATCTAAATAAACAAGTTATGCAAGAACTTTTTACCTTGTAAATTTTTGTTAATCAATGAGAGCAAAATAACTTGTTGGAGTGGAATGAGCATATCACTAATGGGGAGTAGGCCATTTTCAGAGAGCCATGCCCCCTTTTCCCATATGATAGTTATTTTTAAATCTTTTTTATTATGTGATTTTAAGCCTTATGTTTGTACATATATACAACTCACTTTAAATATCATAAAAGAGTAGGAGTGAAGGGTTGTTTTTGTTTAATGGGGAAAATGAACTATAGTAACTATGTTGTTGTTCTTGTTATTAAGTGCCATCGGGTTGGTTCTGACTCATAGCGACCCTGTATAGCGTTTCCGAGGAGCAGCTGATTAGCTTGAACTTCTGACCTTGCAGTTGCTGAATCCAGTGTCCTGTCATGTGTGTAGGATGGGAGACATGGTTCTGGTGTGAAAGGTCACCTTTGACTGTTGTTGTTGTTGTTAAGTGCCATCGAGTTGGTTCCTACCCATAGCGACCCTGTATAGCGTTTCCCAGGAGTGACTGACTGGTGAGCTTGAACTGTCAACCTTGATGTTCAAACGGCTTTGCAGTCTGGCATGTTAACCCACAGCACCACACCTTTGACTAGGTATCTCTAATCTTCACCTTGATTGCATCATTTTTCTGAGTTTCCAGCTGGGTGAATGTGCCACCAAAATGCAATCTCATCTCTTTCTTTCCTTGAGAACCTAAGTCCTGAGCAGATTATCTTTAATTTACCAAGTGAGGACTCATCAAATGATTGTAGTCCATACTTTTAACTTCAGCTCCCTCCCAGAGCTTTTCATTGGTTCTCACTTCACAGAAGGTGCCAGGTTAACACAGAAGGAGGGTGGAAACAAAGACATGTATCATTTTTAAGTAAAAAGTCTGAACTTTTAAGCAGATCATGTGTTATATGAAGCTTTTTGTCATCTCCTAGTACTAGGTGAGCCCTAGAAAACAAGAGATGTGGTTCCTGGATAGATTCTTCACATTGGAAGCTGTTAAGTGTTTGCATTGGCAAAGCAGCAAGACAAATTCATGAATGTCCAACATTCATTTTTCCTAGTCAGTCATAAGCACATCATTTTATGCTATGCATATGGTGTTGACATTTTGTTTGAATATAGTTTATGAGATCTGGTAAAAAAAAAAAAAAAAAAAAGGTCTTTTCCCCTTTCAGTTTCTTGCTGGTATTTTCTATGATTATTTATGTTTTATCATTACCATTGAAATTTCCCTAAAAGAAATTCTTCATGCTGGAATTGATGGTAACTACTTGTTACAGGTTGTGGGATTGGTTTTCTTCTATGAGATTGTTTTCTTCTTATACTGCTATTGGGTAATTGTGAGAGTTTCCTTTCCAATCTTCCTGTAATCATTTCTAACGTATAAACAGTTCTTCGAAGAAACTTGCAGGGCATTCTAGGTGTTGTTGTTGTTGTTGTTAAGTGCCGTCGAGTCGGTTCCGACCCATAGCGACCCTGTACAGGGTTTCCGAGGGTGTAAATCCTTACGGGAGTAGAAAGCCTCATCTTTCTCCCGCGGAACGGCTGGTAGTTTCGAACCGCTGACCTTAAGGTTCGCAGCTCGATTCGTAACCACTACGCTACCAGAGCTCCTATTCTAGGTGTTAGGATTCCTTTAACCTAGAGTGACCAAGACAGAGTACAGGACTGTGAATGACATGTTTTTATCTGTTCCAAATTAGCAAAGTATTATTTTCAACATCATAAATGGAGTTATAGGTGTTAAGAAAAATACCAACCCTATTTAGGTGAGAAATGGGACTATGATTTAAAAACAAATTTTCCCCCAAGGGAACTACCCTCTTTGACTATAATTACTCTCAGTTGTGCCCTATGTGTCAATTTTCCTGTAGACTCATGATCTGAACCTGTTATTTGTCCTTGTCCCTTCCACTCATCTAAAGTGTCCTATCAAACTGAAAAAGCATTTACAGAGGATAAATTAGGCTTCAGATGAAAGGGGGCTTATCACAAATTTGAATGAATAAAATTGTATATGTAGTTGGGGTGTAAATACACCATTGACTTTTACAAGTTGAACATACACTATTAAAAACTGAATATGAAAATTCTTTAAAATCGAATGCAAAGGAGTTTTTAAAATCTGGTTTAAACCTGTCCAATGGATAATAAGTTATTTAGCCGTGTGTGTTAATCTAGGTAATATTTTTTTCTTCATATTAGTATTTGTTGAAAAACATTTTGTAAATGACATATAAGTCATGTTTGCCTTTCTTATCAGGGGCGTTCACGTATCATCTAAACTTATTTCGCTATATCTAGTCTCTGCTTTAAGTGAAGTCCACATATGAAAATCCAGATATAAAATAGGTGGTTATGTGATGAAGAGCCAGTCTGATGGGTTTTAAACACGAATTATTCACCAAAATCTGAATTACCCTTAGTTTCACACACCACCTGAGATACTTAAAGAAACATCTGAGGTTCTCTGCATTAACATATTCCTGATTTATGCTTTGCTATTTGATTTATCTGATTTAAAGGTGTGTTCAAAATCATTGCTCTTTGTTTCTGCAAATTTACAAGAGTCCCTACTTTCTTTTTCTCTTTCTCTGACAGATATAAGCTTACCAAAGTCGGCAACAATATGCTACACAGCTGCCTTGCTCAAAGCAAGAGCTGTCTCTGACAAGTAAGTGAATAATAACTTCTGCGGCACTCAATGCCTGACCTGACTTAAGGAGATGTGTTGCCTCTGAGGGCTTTCTCTGGAAGTTTCTCTCAGGTTATAAGATCCCTGCTTATGAGCATGCATTTTCCAAAATCTGCTGATCTTTTCTTTCACTATTAGAAGGAGGAGCTATGTATCCCCAGGTATCATAATGGCATGTGGGTCCCTATAGAGGGATTTATGTCACACAAAATGCCTTCCTTTTATTCATTTTTTGCATATTCCTCTTTCTTCAGCAGTTCACAGTCGGTAGTAGCTGTGACAACACATAATATGGCTTAGGGGATGGTCAGTCCCCATCATTCACCTCATCAGTTCCAAAAGTGTTCCCTACACCAGGGCGCATTTCATTTGAATTGTCATCTCAGGGGGACATTCGTCCACTTTTATTCAGGCAGGTGGCTATGACATAGAGAATTTCCTTCAGCACCCAAGAATGACTGGCAGATGAAAGTGTTCACAAACGCTAGCCCTTCCCGATACAGCCAACAGGAACAGAAAACAGCCTGTGCTATGTCAGACAGGTTTGCTGTTAAGTGTGTGTGCACTTCAAGACCGAAGTAATTTTCTTTCATTCTTTTTTATCCTGTAGATCGCCAGTACCTACTGCAACATCTTTTCTCCCTACACAGCGACTCCAGCTTGGGAGGGCAGGGCCAGGGTTGCCACAGCTTGCCCTGTGGTGTCTGCCTGCCAAGCACAGCTCTGGAGTTAGCCCTGGGTGTGAGGTGAGAAAGAGATTGCATGGTCTGGTTTTTTTTTCATTCACTTGGGCAGGTGTCTCGCCCACAGTTTGGGCATGCACACCCCCCTACCGGAACAGCCTTCCCCACTCCGCCCCCCGCAGGCTTGCCTGCTGCTGAAGCTGCAACGACTTAACCCTCCGTGGCAGCCCTGACATTGGGTTGGGAGCCCCCTTGAAAATTCTCCCCAGTTCTGTTTTTAACAAAGTGCGCTCTTCTGTGACAGTTTTCTCTTTTTCCTACACCATCTGCCCTTGTCAGTCCTCCCCCATCCTGGCCCCGACCTAAGCAGGTACCTCGTAGAGAATTTAGACTAGCTATGTAGCCAGACAGACTTGACAGCTGAATTTCACTCCTGCCGAGATTAGTCGCAACTCGCTTTCTGCTTCTGCTGGGGTTTTTGTTGGCCTCGGTCTGAGGGGTCACTCAGAGGTTCTGTGTAGTGGAGGTCTGGAGAGCTCATGCCATTGACTCGCTGTGGTTTCATGGGCCCTTGATGGGTAGGTGCCTTTCCAGCTTGCTGCCCAAGCAGTGGACCCAACCGGATGGTGTTTGTCTTTCTGCTTTTCAGATTCTCTCCCGAGGCTGCATCTCGGCGGGGGCTGAGCACAGCAGAGATGAATGCGGTAGAGGCCATTCATAGAGCTGTGGAATTCAATCCTCACGTGCCAAAAGTGAGTGTGTGGAATCCCCCAGGAACTCGTTATGATAGCAGAGAAAGCATTCACTGACCACAATGCCATGTTTCGAATACACCCACACATATATATATCTATCTATATCTATATATATAGATATATATATATAGATATAGATAGATATATATAAAATGTGTGAATTGCAACCAGCAAACATTGAGGCACTGCCGAGTCTATGGTCATTAGCCTCATCTGAGAAGCTTTGGGGCTGATTTCAGGGCTTCAATAATAAGGGTGAATTGATGGGCCTGGCTTAAGCAGGTCAGGTCAGGAAGTCTGGAATTGGCAAAATGGAGATCTCAAGGGTGCTGATACATTTGATAGGAATTTCACACCAGTTACAGTCCCACTTAGAATAATCCAAGAAGTAAACTTTGCAGTGAATAAAAGTAATAAAAAATACTGACTAAGGCTATATTCTCTGTCCCTATAAATAAAACATAATTAATCAGTATTGGCAAGAAAATAGTAGGAGAAACCCTGAAAAGTATGAAGTATTTCTTTCCATTTATAAATGCCATTTTCACAAATATAGTAGGAAATATCTGTCTGCTGGTTAAATACACAATTGACAGTATATAAGTACCTAGTATTTCCCATATCTTTTTCTAATAGTGATTTTTAGGGCATCAGATCTCTTTTTTTTATTTCTCTAATTGTCTCTCTTCTTCTGTCTTCCCTTCTTCAGAAGATGCATTTATATTTATGATCTTCTTGTACTTGAGTATTTGCTGGCTGTGGGATAGGCATATAACTGAGGGCCTCTTCCAGTTTCTGGACATTTCTGGACAGAGCACATTTTGACGGTTAAGAAACTATTCCTGCAGTTCACATCAGGGACTACCAAGAATAATTGTTTTGGCAGGATGTCTGCTAAGGACTTAGATTGGTGAAAAATGACAACAGAAGGGTTTTTTTCTTACATTGCTGCAGTAATGTGTGTGCATTGTATAGGTGTGTGCTGTGATGGTGATTTATGGAATTTCCTATTTTAATTTATTTTGTTGATATCCACAGTGACAGAGATAAGTGATCTAATGTAATTCCTGAGGTTTTATGCAAGTCAAGGTCATCATTTTGCCTAACAGGAAATTGAACAGTGCACAGTGCCACGTTTGCATCAGGATGTATTTGTCTGTTCCAGTTGTAGTGGATAATGAACAACACCGCATGTATAGACTTAGGGATCTGAGATGTTGTTAAGTGCTGTCGAGTCGGCTCTGACTCATAGCGGCCCTGTGTAGGGTTTCCAAGGAGCAGCCATTGGGTTTGAACTGCCAACAATGTGGTTTGCAGTCCTGTGCTGAGTCTACAGCGTCACACCAGGAGTCCAGGGATTCTATATACGGTACTATAAAATGTATCTCTTTATATATAGTATTTTTACAGCTAACCTAAAAATCTCAACTTTGGTTGAGATTCGAAACTATACATGAAAATGTTTTCCTGAACTATAGTAAACTTAGCTCGTCGATGAACATTGATTAAACATCATTCTCTGACTACAAAATTATTCTGTCAGCACCAAGCAGGAGCAGGAGAAGTAGGGTTGTACAGTAGGGTCTGGATCCTGAGACAGAAAACTGGGTTCGAGTTCTGGCTCCCTCATTTATTAGTTAGCATTTGACCTAGGACTTAGTTTCTCTGAACTCAGTGTCTTTCCTCATTCTTTCAAATTCTATGATAATAGTTTGAAAAGGTTACTTGAGCCTCTGGAGAGAAGTTAAAAGCCTAAGAAATAGTTTAAGTCTGCCGTGGGAGAATGTGACTCAGTGTAGTAACACTCCACCTATAAACTGCAATTCTATGACTGAACACATTTAAGTATGTGATCCCACTCTACTTTTTAATCATTAAAATGAGAGAGGAAACAGATTCTTCACCAGTTTGCTTAGTTCATCATAGTGCTGTGGTTGTGTGTTCATAGATCATCTGCATCTAGTGACATTTCCATGGAGATAGGGCTTTGTGGGTCACTGGCCTGATACTCAGAATTAACCACAAACCTCTAGTATACATAAGCCATATACATGGTGTTCATTTCTTCTTAGGTACTGCTGAGTCAGTTCTGATCCCTTGTGACAGTGTGTACAACAGAACGAAACACTGCCCAATCCTGTGCCATCCTTACAATTGTTATTACACTTGAGCCCATTGCTGCTGCCACTATGCAAATCCGTCTCATTGGGGTCTCACTCTGTTTTCACTGACCCTTCACTTTATCAAGCATGATGTCCTTCTCCAGGGACTGATCCCTCCTGATAACATGCCCAAAATATGAAAAATGAAGTCTTGCCATCCTGGCTTCCAAGAAGCATTCTGGCCTTACTTCTTCCAACACAGATTTGTTTGTTCCTCTGGCAGTCCATGGTACTTTTAATATTCTTCTCCAACACCATAATTCAAATGCATCAATTATTCTATGATCTTCCTTATTCATTGTCCAACTTTCACATGCATGTGAGGCAACTGAAAACACCATGACGTGGGTCACGTGCACCTTCGTCCTCACAGTGATACCTTTGCTTTTGCACAGTTAGTAAAGAAGTCTTATGCAGCAGATTTACTTAGTAAAATACGTTATTTGATTTCTTGACTGCTACCTCCTTAAGTGTCAATTGTGGATCCATGAAAAATTAAGTCTTGTCTCCATTTATCATGATGTTATGTATTGGTCCGATTTGAGGATTTTTGTTTTCTTTATACTGAGGTTTAATCCATACTGTAGGTTGCAGTCTTAGATCTTCATCAGTATTTCAAATCCTCTACACTTCCAGCTAGGGTACTATACACCTTTTATACATGTTCTGCTGATAGGTAGAACATGCACACATGTAGAAATCATGGCTTTGCAGCTAGGGAATAGCCTCAATTCTAATGAGATATCCGTGAAGGATATAGACTCTTGGACTCTTAGTGTAAGGGAACTTTAAAGGTCTTGGGTCAACTTGCCATCCTAAACTTGGCTTTCTCATCACAGTGATGTGATCGGTCTCTATTGAAGCATAGTGCCATCTGAACTACATCATCCAGCTTGTTTATTTTTCATCACAACACTATGAGATCCCATTGTGCCCACTACACAGATGAGGGCACTGAGGCTTGGAGAAGTCACTCAGCAAGTAAAGGACAGAACCTGAATTACCCCTGCCTTATCTGACTCTTAAACATCACACTCTGCTGCCTCCCAGATCTCACCAGGTGCCTTTCCAGCCTAGGCATGAATGCTTCAAATGATGGAGGACATATCCTTTCCTAAGGAACCCCATTCCTTGTAAATAATTCTTAGTGCTTCCAAGTTACTATCATATTGTAAATCCTTCCATGGCTTCTTTTCCTCTATTACAGAAGTGGTCAGTGGCCCACCAGAGAAACTTTTAGTATCTACATCATGATGCTTTTCCTAAATTTACTCTGCTCCATGGAAAAACACCAAATATAATATATTAAGCCTGCCTTCCATAAATTTCCATCTGGAATCCCATTAAGCAAAGGCATATAGATAATGTTTCAACATCCAGGATAAATATTAGTTATTAACTTCAGGAGGATTCTCTTAGGAACTTTCTTGACCTAGAAACCCAAGAGGGTGAGGGGTGTACGTGTTGCCTTGCACACCAAAGGACTGGGAAATAAACTTAGGAAAGTCACAAATCTGTGTCCTACGGGAGAGCCTCTTGCTAGCTGGTCAGAATGTAAACATCCCAGCAGATTAGTCAAGATGAAACAGACACACAGACTCATCATTACAAATCATATTGTGTCCCTCCCAGCTCTCCTACAAGAGAAGGTCTCAACTCTTTACTTGGGTGGTTCTTCAGGCTCCTTTACAATCTGACCCAACTTGTTTTTCATTTTTTCTAGCTCATTCTAACATCCATCATCCCAGAAACATCCTCCTCCCCTTCCTTCTTTGCTTCCTCAGAGGAAATCCGACTCATCCTTCACACACTCCCCTGCCCCCATCATTAAAAGTCACCATGAGGAAGCCTGTGCCTTCCTGTTCTGCCTCGCTCACCCCTCTGTTCCTCTAACTTTTTCAAACAATTGTGAACAGCCAGAGGGGCCATGGATCCCAGCACCTAGATCCGTGTGGGACACTTGGCAGCCACCTTCCAGTAATTTTGTTATTTCCTGAGCACGTACTGTCGGCCAATGAGAAGAGCTGCGGTCTGGTGATTTTTGAGGACTGGGTACATTGGGTTTAAGAAGATAAAAGGATCGCTAATCCGTGATAGGATGTGTTCTGTATGATGGGATTAAAATAAGATTGCAAATTTAAGGGAGTATTCTAGATTTTTGAGAAAAGTTCACTCATTTGGTATTAGATAGAGCATTACCCTGATCTCAGTTTTATGCCCTCATCTCCGCATTGCTATAGTTTATTGGATTTTTAACTTTGTTGTTTTCTTCTTTCTACACAAATATGCTCCCCTGTTCCCAGGCAATTTAGTAATTTACACTTGTAGGGTGGTGGAGGAGAACTTTTCTATCAATGATTCAGTACTTGACACGGATCTGAGCTGACTAGTTTATACTGACTGATGCCATTGGAACAACTGGTAAACTTTTGTTTTATCAGTTGATAAAATAATTAATTTTTCGAACAAGTTTCCAAAAATTAAGTAATTGGGTTGTTACTAGCAGTCATAGATGCATTTTTACCTCTACAATGGTTTTATAAAAATAAATTCTCTCTTTAAAGAAAAATATTAAAGAGAAAAAAAAGTTTCTATCCCTATCATCTAGTCCTATTGAGGACTATTTCCTTCTAGCCTTTTCTCTATACAGTTTTAATACATATACAAGAGTACATCATCAAGTTTGTGGAAAAACTCCATTATCTTTCTATTCCATTTTCCCAAAAGACTTTGAATCCGCTTTGTACTGACATACTTTAAAAAATTAACATGGGGCACTTACATTTTGTGGTTGGGTGTTAGGCATGTATTTATTGTTTCTGGGGGAAGATCATC